AGCTCAGTGGTATCCTCATAATTGCTCAGATGTCCCACATTCGAACCCCGTCTCTACGCACCCATCTCTTCATTCATCTGTTTCCCCTTGCAACTTTTGATGTACCACTGCATCCTTATTTAGAAATAACTCAAAACAAGTTTTACGCTTAACAGATAAAGGTAACCGTAAAACCGCAAATTCAAACAAAACAATCAGTGGTTCGAAAGCGGTTCGTAGCATTTACAAAATATAATCTGGAAAGATGTAGAAGTACGGATGGAAACGTTAAGCAACGATTTCTGTAGGTCTTAACATTACAACGAAATTTACACATTTATTTAACTAATTCTGATTGGCAATCGATGAAAAATGTTTAGCATACCTGAGGGCCAAGATTTTCGACTATATCTTTTAATGTATCGAGTGTACTGACCACGTGAACTTTCATTATCCACTCTAAAACCGAGGAGAAAACGCGGTGGTGATTGCATCATGCAACTTCGTATCAGCGGAAGTGGAATATATCATCATCCTCATCATCGCCGTACAGCGAAATATAGTGAATCGAAATTCATTGATCGCTGCCAAACTCGCAATGCATACAAGATTAGTGGTAAAATTTAACGTGAACAGGGATTGGACCTACATTCAGGGAGGGAGAACAAGGCGAACCACACAGAGTGCACAATCGAACTCTGCATACATACCGTTTCAAGCGTTCTGGTTTGATAAGAAATGACAACAAGAACGCCACTGATGTCGGTTCACTGCCATACCCTTTAATGTCTCCAACCAACCGGTTGTGGAGTCTTTTGGACCCCTACTCTTTTTGGACACCTACTCTACCTAACGGCTGCGTAAAATTCTTCATTCCTCGTCTCCACGTCATAAATAAATAAAAAATGAGTGTAGCTATAACGCACGGTGCAACCTGTGCATTGATCAACAATTGAAAGAATAAACCTCAAATCAAGGTACAGCTGAGGTTATTCCAGAAATGCTCATTTTTGGGTTGTAGACTGTTTACAAATCAAAATTGTCATTCTAGAGGCTTGCACGTCAAAAACCTTGTTGAACATGACGCTAAGGCGTCATTGATATGATAGTATTCAACGGTCTATGCAATCACATAAATATATACATATATGTTCTGTATGGTATACAGGAAAGAACTGCACACCTAAATAATCACTATTCTCACAACTCTACATAGTTAATCAATCAACATAATGTCCCAAGAAGTGGAACTCAGTCGAACTACGGCTCGTTTTATACGGCTACTTGACTCGTGGTGGGGCCCGAGTGATCATGGACGACCTGGTCTCAGGAGGAGGCTCGCTCTGAAACTCTGTCAGGTTGAAATTTACCATTCTATTTTGTGTCGTAGGGTAATATTACGATTGTTTTCTTTTTTCCCCAGCTACTTTTAATCAATCTGCAAAGATATAATTTGCAGGTGTGATACAGTGGTGGTCACAGNTGTTGGCGATGGGATTCGAACAAAAGTGAACACCGGGTTACCAACGTTGCTTCCCTATTCCAGAAAACGTTTCGCAAAATTAAATCATAATATATGTTCCATGAGAAGAATTAAAAACAAAATCAAACGAGCAGCGCCCAACAGAGTGAAGCAGGGACACTGATGAGACAGAAATCAGCAAGGACTAGTCGGTTACTGTAGCAGATACTACAGAGCTAATTCACTACTGGAGCGTGCAGTGGATAGATTCCAGTAAAGGGGTGGTGAACAAGGACAGCACGAAGCATTATCTAACTCCCTAGCGGGTATTTATCAAAATCACACTATATAAAGAGTAAAACAAGCAGTTTGGTTCCTCTTACCCTCGTTTGAATGAACTCGAACTTACCCAAATACGGTCTTGGTTTCGCTGAGTAATAACATTGTGTTGTCGCCGCTTTATTTTTGGTAGAAAAAGAAAAAAAAGAAACATCACTTTAATGGTTTCTGTCTGGTTTGGTGTTTTTTAGTTTAAACACACACGAGCCTTAGTTCAATCACGTTATCCAATGGATGCAACTGATTTGAATTGTGTCCCAAAGATCGACTTTTGGTTTAAAATAGGAGTGAGCTGAATCGTTCAGGCCAAAGCAGAATTGCGGTTGCCGGTTGCCGCGGCTAGGCAATAAATACCCTGAACTGTGTGGGTCATCTCTTCCGGTTGGTAGGTACAGTTACAGGATAGTACGTTTACGAAAACAAAGATTGTAGTTCATATCAGAAATGGGGGCCAGCAACTACGCAATAAGCTATGGAAATATCGTTCTCATCCAAATCCGAAAACTACGTGAACAATGAAAAATATAAATTCAATTAATGTACATAAAATATATTCATCGAGTATGGCATACAGTTTTGATTTCTACAAATATCTTCTCATTGGCAATATGAAAATCCGGAAAAATTGATTCACTCGATTCGTTTATTTTCCCCTCATGGAGGAGACATGGGGAGGAAATGCAACACTTTCCGTTAGCCAATCTCACAGAACTCCAGTTAGTTCCACCATGGTTGTTGCATGAGGATCCTTGTCAGAACCGAAAACCTTGTGGATCATCTACATATCTGATAGTCTACTGCACACCTGAGGTCGGAAGACGGGTTGTAGTGTGGAGGAGACAGTTACAAAACCTACCTTTCCAATTCATTTTGCCATTCAAACGTTCTCCCGTCAGATATTTGGTCACATCCACGTGTTGCTTTACTTGATCCAATGTGTGTCTCACCAGACCACCATCTTCAAGTTTCTCTTCAATGCTGAAAGACAGCGTTATGCTGTACGATTTTAGTCCTTTCTTCTCATTGAATGTCACATCTGTGTGAACCCTTCTAATTGGCAGAATATCATTTGCATCTACCGCGGCCAACTAGAGTAAAGCGTTGTTGAAACAGAGGAACGCAGTGAGATAAATGAGAATTGATTGAATGAAATAACTTGGAGCTGTTTTCCTCAGAGCGAGAGAATAATCGAAAAATATTTATAACTGTAATCAAATAGTGGGATTACTGCAAGGGAGCACTAGACCGCTGTTCTATCCCTACTGAGACTGGTCAGCAGAGTATACTATTTCCTCATTTGGGTCCAATCACGAAGATTTGCATAAACACTTACTAACTCTACTCTATCAAATGCCTTTTACTTGTTTGAAAGCATTAATTCCACCTGACAGTAATCAGTTTTTAAAAGGAAGCGTATTACTCTGAGGTAATCAGCACTCTACTGTACCAGAATTGCTGCGAGATATCATGGAATTTTTGTTTTTGCACTACCGTAGTGTAAAGCATGGATAAAATATACTCCACAGTTGTGCGTTTGGCAGTCAAAAGCTAAACAGAATGCCTGAGTGTTGCTTAGGTGTTTTTCGGTCTTCGGACCGAAGCAACGTTTTGATTATACAGGCAAAGAACGAACGATGATATGAATGAATTCCGTCATTAGAGTTGCAATTGATCACCTATTGGTTTGAACACAACAGTCCCTGTTTTGCTTCAACTGTAATACTTACCATTGGTGAGGTTATATATGAACATACAAAGATGAAATCGGTTTTATACTACAATAAACCAGTTTTACTTTTTTACAAAAGTGTTTTTCTCTCGAAACTATGAGCCAGAACCGGAGACGCACAGCGACACTATCATCGGCAGTCAACAAATAATGCCTCAGAGAAAATTTTTGAATTTGAAGAGAATAACATTTCGATATTGTACAAAAGAATTTATTAAATTCAGCTGCCACATTCACTCACTGCTTTCATAATGTGCTCATCTAGATGAGTTTCATTTGAGCGACCATTCGTTGACACTCTCATATCTGCTTCCATTGTGATCACTGAATGAGAAGCGACATAGTTCAAGAAAAGAAAAGTCACGGCTTGACAGGCATAAGCGTTCTTCATCGATGGAAATGTAAAATCAAGTGATATTATTACAATGAATCCATGGGCTGTAGGCATTTAATTCAGTAATATCAATAATCCAGAGATCCACGACACGATGAATAGCCGCGGTCCCCATTGCGCTGTTTGTGAATGACTCACCTCGTCAGAAATTATCCTCAGCGGTATTATTCTTCCCTCTTTTGATTGATTTTAGGTCTGTTATCTCACAGACTGAGTCTCGTTTTCATTATCTCGCGTATTTCATCTTTCTCTATCTCACTTCTCACTTACAATGAGTACAACTGTCCCGACTAAGTTTTCTCGCCACGTGTAACACGATGTCGTTCTGTTCGAGTGTCATTCATATTTATGCTACTGATAGTTGTCAGTAGTTAAACTCCAAACGAGTTTTTATTCTGTTAACGGTCGTACGCTATTTGTTTGGGTAGTAGGCCAAATCAATGGTTCCATTCTCAAGATAACATAGGTTGTTAGATCATCAAAAGCCGAAACGTTCCTTGATTCTGATATTCTATTTAGAAAATTTTTATTTCGCAGCGAACTAAACCATCGGTTCTATTTGAGGCGACTTTGTCACCGTTCACGTTTTCAGATGCATTTATTTCTTCCGGGGTTACAAAAGACACGTTAATGAAACTAGGACGGTGATCACAAGTGGGGAAACGAGGTAGTATTCAGTAAAGCTCGGGTTTTAAGATGAATGACTAATGAATAACTAGTCACATGAAAGTGGGTTTCACAAAAGATTCCGTAAGGTGAATCGAATCGAAGCACTGCGATAGAAGAATGATCATAGCTGAACAACGAGGATCCGATTATTGCATTACCTACATGAGAATGATTTTTTATTCAGTTAAAGTTATAAAACCTCCTTTTATCCAACAAACAAATGTGGTCATCAGATATTTGTATAGCATTCATCAATATCGGTAAAGTGCTGTGGGCTTAAGACGGACTTCAGTTCAGTCACACATCACATCTCATGAGTAGTATACAAACCAGAGACAATTTTACTCACACAATGTGTTCACGCTCTCCAAGGTAGAACAGGGGCAGCTTTCTAGGGATGGTTTGGAATCTGTGAGGAGCGAATTAGTGAAAAAGTAAATTGTCTGATTCATGGGAAGCAAATCTATATAGCAACAGTCGCGAAGTTATTTACAATGATCATATCTGGACACTTTGTTTCTGTCTACAGAGTGGTTATCGACCCGGAACCACAATACAGGCTTTTCTTATTAAGAGACAAACGCATCGACTTGGTTGCATTGCATGTCTCTCTATGTCAATCTGTGAACCGTCAACCCTCCCAATGGATTCACATCCACCCTATCCCCGATAATTTTGCACAAACAGAGTGTTGCGTAGTGAAACTTAAAATGATAGAGACAATGCATATGACGCTAAAGACCTGTTTCATATTTGATTTCAGTGCCTATTTATGCAATTATTTCGGTAAACGAAAGAGTCACATACACAGAGATATACCGTATACCGGCCGAGATTCGGATTTAAGGTCACTGGCACAGGGCACGTGCTAATCAAAAGCTCTAGGACAGTCTGTGAAGATTTTCGTTTGTTCCAGCAGATATACAAGAGCTTGAACTAACCGTGTCTAAATCATGCATGTCACTGGGAGAAGCTTTCCGTAAAATTCCTTATATCCACTCAAAATCCAATAAGGTAAATGTGCTAAGTAAACGAAAATTACACAATAAATGCAATAAACTCACTTAGTTTAAAGTTACTTTTTATTGAGCCGAAAACGTCCCCCGCTGCATCACTTTGTAATTCCGAAGACGAATCAGATCGAGCTAAATTTGTGAAACGTGTGTGGGGTGTGATAAATTGAGCGTTCCATTAGTTCATTTCAAACTGATTTTCCTGAAGTCGCTGTTCATCAATTATTTTACTTAGCCAGTGAACCCGGAGTTGTGTGATTGTCAGTATTTGGTATCAGGTGAAAAATAAATTAATCGGGAATCAGTGCAATCGCTTTTGTATGTCAACGCACAAAATGTATTGTTGAAGCAGTTTCCATTGAAATACTGCATGGAAATGAATATTTAAATTTTGTAGAGTCCTGGGCCGTTATGATACAGGAAATTGAAACGTTTTCTTTTTACCGATATTGCAATTATCAATAAATCCACGTTGTTTTACCTCACAGAGAGATTTTCCACTATTCAGTCTACAGCATTAGTTTTCTGTTTAGACGATGATCTTTTCATCGAATTTGTTAAATTAAAACCCCGGATTCCATCAAGGGATGGNAGGGATGGGCTCTAAAGGTCAAGTTATGTGTGAGTGCTGTTGAGACAAACTGCAACGTTTTTCCAACTCCTCCTACCATATCGCTGCGCCTGGGTGTGGCCATCGTACTCACGCGTATTGGTTTCAATCGACTTGACTTTGATCGATCGACGAGGCGTGCTAGCAACGGATTCATTCAGTCTACATTCGGAGAAGCGTGTTGAACTCTATCCTTCTATGTGCCTCGTAGAAAACACTTACGCATTTATCAAAGTGAAAGCAATACATTGCTCCATAAACTTGCTGTTGATCATTCGATCTTGTTGTATTTAGTTCAGCAATATATGATAACCTTGTACTGAACAAATTCTATTCGGATCAATAGAGGATATATTTCACACCAAAAGTTATGGACCAGTGTGAACCCGTCCACAAACAGCATTTCAATGCATCAGGTTAAAACAAAAAATCGGGTACTATCAAACAGCCAGTATCATTGTGTGCACTTACTTGTGAATTTTATATTGCCCAAGTACATTTTTGATTTTTTATCACGGAAGTACTCAATTAAAGATTTTTTCACAAAATCGTCCTGCCTAAACTGGTCGGAATCTGCCTCACTGACAAGCCAAACGAGTTGCAGATTGTACAATCCAGACATGGATGACGCTTGGTGATCAATCGAGAGCGACAATAGTGACTTCATGCTGTCGGTGTCACGCAGCCATTCAAAAAGCTGGAAAATGCAGTGCAATCGCGAACAACCACTTGTGAGTAGCACATTGGGAAAGCCATATTTTTCCTTGATTGTCATGTTTCAGACCAAGCTCAATCAATCCTCAATTCATCCAGTCAAGTCAAACGAATAAACAATTAGTATCCAGCATACTATTTAAGTTAGACAAATGATGAATGAATATAAGGCGTGGGCACCAAGGCGATTGGTAAGTCAACGGTGTAACTAACACATGGTAAATGGTTTGGATCTGACAGAGAACCGTGATGATAGTGGGCATGTCAGATGCAAGACTCATCAGAGTTGAAAATAATGCTAATCACTTGAGGAGTTAAGTAACATTGAACGAAACTTGGGCAACATAATACGAATTAATGTTCCTTAAAAACTTGCAATGTGGTATTACTGAGATACGGGCTGGAATCAAATGGACTAGATAGACATTTCGTTACCTGGAAATGTGCTGAAGCCACTTCAAGCGAAGTTACATTTTCCGGAGGCCGTAAGTTGAAAACCCATAACCACCACAACCATATAACTTTCCCACGTCTCTCCCCCTTTGAAGTTTATTGATCGGATATAACTCTTTAATTAAGCATTTGCCAAGTTTGTCAAAATGAAGTAAAATATTCACAGTTAATTTATTCGCCAGCAGTGGGATAAGATAAGTAACCGGTTTGAACCGGGTATCATTCAAAATTTGTCTTCACGGTAGATTATTAGTTGCTCCAGTCTACCCCATACTCGACACGCGGTAGCATGGAGTTTGACTCCACAGAGGTTTCATCAGCAGTGCACAGTCACTCCGGATCCATCGTATGGAAATCGCATATGTTAAAATTATGATAACTATCTCACACCGGGGCTGAACCGAATTGCCAATTCATGTTTGTGCAGATACTGTTTTCAATGGCAGTCAAATAGTCAACCCGACAGCCAAGAAACGAGACCCAGTTTACTACCTCTTGACTCCATTCGAAACCCTCCCACTAAATCGAGGCTTTTTGGCAGGTTAGCGCTGACTTCTCGCAAACCTACTGGACTAGAGAGTAGTTCACGATTAAGACTGGTCAGTTCAATTAAATGAAAATATGATTTCAAGAATATTATCTAAGTTGTATGCTCTTTTTCAGTACTCTCCAGTAATTACCACGGTTTATAAATTTACCAGGGTTCGGGCTGTGTCATCCCATTTTGGAGGCCATGGATCTTGCATGATAACATTTTCTTTTTCTAAAAGCTCGACACGGGCGATTGTCACTGGAAACGAAGCATGAGGAAGAAAAGGAGAAGTACGTGAGCCCGTCACACACTGCGAAAATATTCAACGGGTTTTGCTTGTGATAGATAAGGATCCGGTGGTTCATTTCATATAATCTTAGTGTTACTTGGTATCCGGTTGCAAGAAGAATACAAGCAATCGGCTTTCGGTACTCCACTGGATGCAGATACCACTCCCTCACCACTAATAAGCTTTTATGGAATATTTATAATAAAGATGATTCTTTTAGGCAAATTATTTTGTTTATTAGCAGTCAAATGTGAAACGAGATACCTTTTCCGTGGCTTCATAGCTTGACTGGTGCAGCGCTTACGGTGTACACTGGAGCATGTTCTATCCAACTGTTGTTTCGATTACTACGCGATCTGTTGTAAAATGAATTATTTAGAAAGATCTTCGTGTTGGATTGAATTTATTTTTGATTTTTAGAGACATTTAGAAGGATTACTGTGTTTGGTTGATTTTATTTTACGGTTTTTTGTAGACAAATAGTTAGGAAAGTAATGAAAAATTCCATTCATTGGTATTCGCCACAATCTTGCAGAATACCATTCATCCGTCTGTTAGGAATCACACAAAATGAATCTTGTCTAAAGGTGTACTGCTGGAAACGTTTGCCACAGATCCTGTTGACGACAAAGTACCTGAGCATAAATGAAATGTATTTTAATCTCGATGAATCAGTTTTATACGTCTTATCTTAATAGTGACAAATTGAGGCTGATAAAAATGGTGAAAAAATATCCATAGTGATTTTTCTGGTTTACGACCTTTGATGACCGATCGATGCTCTTAGTCAAATGGTAAAATCGAAAGACCAGGACAAACAAACTTCTGTGAAATATCCGGATAGCAACTACATTATGTCAGAATATAGTTGAAAGCAGTTATGGGTTCATAAAAAAAGTAAACAACATCTGCGTGATTGAGACGAAAACATGCCGATAAAGCAATAACTCACGGTGAACTTGGTGTAGCTTCTCGTCCACTGCGTTAGGGGAGGTGTGAAGACAAATATACTGATGATTATATCAAGCAGTGAAAATACATACAGGTAAGTCACAAATTTTCATTAGAAAAGTTTTACAAATACTCCAAATTATGGGCAATAACAGTGCAATAGCAATATTAAATGAAATTGAAGAGACCAATGATGAGTCAGTGAGTGTTTGAAAGATTTCGTTGGCCTGCTGTTAGCCAGTATTCACCCTGTCCACGTGAGCTTAAATATTCCATCCAAAAGCCATGAAACAAATATTCTCTTGGCCCCAGAGAGGCTGTAATTAATAACGGTAATTTATTCGATCAGAACGGACTCAAAAATATTCCAGTATGATTGTGATTTTTTCTCTTCAACGTGACAATTATACCATTTATCCCAAACGTGCACTTCTGGTCATCTGTACCCGGATCCCTTATGTCAATCTGAACAAACAATAACAGGTTCTGTGATTTCTACGAAACTTCTATTGCCCGAATAATTGTAATCCAAAAATGGGCAACTCTAATATGAGTCGCTTTTACCAACAAGATTCGTCTCATTCCCAGTGCGTTTACTTACCGGTAATTCGAGAGGTTTGCGGTGTACGACTGAAAGCGTATGAGACGTGACGGTCAAGCAGCGACTGGTAGTTATCCTGCAGCAGATTTACACAGCCCCGAGTGAAACCGTGAATCGGTGATTCGATCGGAATGTAGACGGACAAGTTGGAAAGAGCCTGTGGTTCGGCTGAAAACAGGAAGTTGTCCTTGCACCAAACTGTCTCGTCGAAGTGTTTGGCTTGCAAAACTTTCGTAACTCTGATCAACTTTTCGCACAGTGAAAAGAGATGAATGTGAATGAGAGAGCGACAGTTTAATCTAGATGTCGTAATAAAAAGATCTTAGGAGGATACTCAAAGTCTTCTGACCGAGAACAGATTATTAAATAATAAGAGATAATCTATTTTGTAGGCTGCGAGTTGCAGACTTTGACATGTATTTGTGAACCGCTTATATGGGTTTGTTCCGAACCTGTGATCATAGGCGAAGTCCATCGTACATTCAAGTGGAATAACTTCATGCATTCCTCTATTCTTCCCAGAAGATCGAGTGAATTTTCGGGATTCGATTCATAGAAAGCATTTGCTATCTATAGTTGCATATCTTAAGTAGAAACAAGAAAAATAGATATGGTTGTGATGAACCTAACAACAAAAGGATTGTTTGGTTGTGTGCAGCAGTTCGTGCGTTCATCAACACCTATTGACTTTGAGCTGGTGAAACAAATTTTAATTTAGTATGGGCAAAGTGATCGTGACTCATAACGTACAACAACAAAGTAAGGCAATTGTGATACTGATGTAGGTGAAGCAAAGGACAAGGGGCAGTTCGAGAGAAGAACGAGAAGAACACGAACGGCCGTTGGTAAATACCTATTAAGTTATTGATTCTCCTTTGCACTTATCATTTCATTCCGTTGATTTCCTTTTATATACACATAGTGCAAAGTCCGTGCTATTTTGCCTGCACCCCAGCGTTGCAAATTCTTGGACAGTGTTCATCAGAACGATCCCTTGTTTCGATTCCAATTATAATTGCAACTTACGATCCGCCTGCATTTCGAGCACTTCAGTTCACCATCATAGAGTTTTCCAGTGAAACGATATCCATATAGGATTACTTCTCTGGAGAACGTTTTGGGTCGATAATCCTGTTTCGTTGGAATTAGTCCTAATAACGATTACCATTCACGACCAGCGAGCTCAGGGACTAGTTAAAATCTTTCCGAATCCTGGAATCGTCAACCGAAAATTCATTCGAGCATTTTAGATAGATAGTTTCATGATATGAGAATGAAATTCGGGATAACCTCGTAGGTGACGTAACAGAAAAAATACATTAAAACAATAGACGGAGATTTTGATGAGAGTCATTTGCAGCTTCTTTCCATATACGATAGGAGGGGACTGATGCCGGATAGAGCGTGTCGGAAAACGGGAAGAGAGTGCCAATAAACCAATCAACATGAACAAACTTGGAACTAGAGAGTACGATGAGTTGCATAAACAAACCAGTGGTGCTTTCACTAGGTAAACTACCTGCTCGTCGCTTTGACATTGAGTACATATGTAAATAGATAGTCTAAAGCGCTACGAGTGTCTGATTATTTGCCAATTTACAAAATCTATAACTTACATGATTGCAAATCCTGTTTTGTTCCAGCGTTCCTATTTGCTCGATAGATTTCATTTCTTTAAGATTATTACGATAACCCAAGTCAACAATCACGTTGAAATTGATCACTGGAAGATTACCAAAAACAAAAAGGCATTTACTGAGGTTGATTTCGCCGATTACCGGTCTAGCAATGCATATGTGCGCGATAATGAGTTTGCTATTCGACGGTATGTTTTTTCATACATTCATTTTTCTGTCAAACCATGATGAAACTGGTGTTTGTTTTATTTTGACTCGGTTATGATGTGGGAATCGGGTAAAAGCTAATTTCGACTTACTCATTACGGAGTTGTAATCGTTGCTAACGCTGTGGTCATTTACAAACTCGCAAACCGTGGCATCACTTTCGGATTCATCTTCGAACTGATCGTCTGATGTCCATTCGGACTGCGTCTCAGTGGTGCGAGGATTCTCGGTTGGTTTTGTTTCCTCGTTTGTGCTTTGCGTGGTCACATCATCGGTAGCTGCACGCGGGTAAGGCGAATACGATTAATTTATAAAGTGATCTCAATATCAGGGACAACTCTCACAAATGTATCCTGGTATATTTTACATTTAGATTATTCCATGGAAAAAGACGAAAGTTTGACTTCACCTCCCAAGAAGTCAGTTCTCTTGGACATATTTCTGTAGTTCCAAAAGTCTTCCAGTTGCGCAAAGCTACACAATTATTAGTTATAATTTGCATTTCCTATTAGGGCATCTAGTTCTAACCCCAATCGGACTGGTTATCCGTTGAAAAACCCGATGGCATGGCACTGGACTAAGAAATAATCAGCCATTGCAGCCTGTGCATATGTTTTGGGAAAGTTACTAAATTCCGTAGATGAGTGATCAGGAGACTGGAATACCAAGTGCTATGGATACGTACAAAATTTCGCTACCGTATTCTCACTTGCAGCCGACTAAGTCTGTGTCATTTTGGCACAAATAAAGATGCCGTGTATTTGCAATAGCTCGGCAGACACTGATTACTTGCTTAGCGAAGGTGGTGGAAACAGTGAGTATACAGTCCGAAATCGTCTCATTATTGAACCAATGCAATACTTTTCGGGAGTCATCTGCTTTTGTACTGCGTGCAGAACAACCCGTTTCATTACCTAAAGCCTCTTTTAAAGATGAATATCCCAACGCACACCACGAATACTAGTGATTATTGCATTGCTCAATTAATTTTCAAGAACCAAGACCGCCGGAATACTTTGAAACAATGGATAGCAATAAAAGTCAATGTCAACCTCACTCGATCTGGACAACCATCAGTTTGGCCGGCTTTTCCACATATTTGAGGTAACTTAATTCCCAACTAACATTTATGCATCCAAATGACGGAGAGCGGAACAGAGCGAGAGTGACGCCATGAACAATATACACTATATGAGCGAGAAAATTGAACTTACTGGAAGCGGCCAAAAGGACTCTTGATTGCAAAGTTACTGAAACGATTGACAGTGAAAATGAACATTAAGTGGTATTCTTCTAGGTTATCAATTTCACATGAAGGACACTCCTGTATGAAACTGACTTCGTTCATTAAAAAAATACAAGTAAGGACAATGAACTATGAATATAGATAGCCATATGAATGCACTACACCACATAAAATATGTGGTTCGCGGAACCTTTCAAAGAGGCTAGGGACACACTGATTGTGGATCGGGATAATACTGACATCGGATAACGCCTGTCTCTCATTGGATCGCCCTATCCAAATGTCTGTTTTTGGTAGGGCTATGTTGTGCAACGCAAATTATTTATTTATCAAATAAATCCTGTAGAAGACATACTCTTCTTCATAATATCGAAAACAAGAGTGAATTGCATTCAACTGAGATTCGATCACAGCCCACCGATCTTCCTACATTGGGTTTATTCTGTCAATTACCGATTAAGTAGTTTTACCAAACAGCACCCAGGCAGTTTAGTTTTTCACACGATCGGTAGTGTCAGCTTGTTGGATCCGTCTGTGAACCAGAAAACGGTTGAAGCAATCGCTTCCTATCGGGGAAAAAATAGGGGGGAGAATCAGTGACCATGTAATGGCTCAATTATAATGGAAACCTATCTATCCACTTCCCGGTCATTATTCACAAAATAGTCCAGTTCACTCACCCAAGATTAATAATGCGGACAGAAACATTTCCCCGTGGAATGGCCGCATTATACGAAACTATGATCGGTTGATACTGTTCACTTGTCTGGTTGATTTCAGCGAATCAGTAGCTGTATTTATATATTCGCTTTTCAATGAGCCAGAGCTAGAGATTGAAACGTTGCGACGCCAATAGGAGATCCGAGATGATGGCAATAATCAGTGTGCTAATTAGGTATGCCAACGTAACAGAAAAATTTGGACTCGTCTGTTGTCAGACAGGTCAAGCGTACCATGAGCAGACAACGCGTGGGGTGGATAACTAACGAACAATTAAGAAAATATAGGCAACACTGTGAACTACGAGCCCGGAGAAGAACGTATCACTGCTAATTTCTTTCTCACTCCACATCATCAGTACTATGTTTGGTTTGAGTAAGCGTTCGCCTGTCGAACCGAAAGCAGGGTGGTAGTGCTAGTACTTGCTGTTCAATTCTTACACAGTTTATTATCACCAGACAACGTGGGAGAAAATGAAAGTTCTGGAAGATAAGGTTTACATGACAACCAACATTAGTTGGTTGCCAACGGTGTTAGTCACAAGTTGTTTAAAGTGAGAAATCTAACGTTTGACGGCATAAAAACACTCACTATTGAGACGAGAAGATTTGTACCTAGAAATATTGATAGAAATAGTCTAGAAATAAGAGACTAGTTGGTCTCAAATTAATTTCCCGGGACGTGAACGAGTTGCTTAACCAGTGTTCATTACTCCATTTTCAGTCAGACCTCACTTCCCAATTCTGTTTGATAGAACTGATCCAAATTTGTCATGGAATGTGACCTATTTTATTTTACTTACGTAGGAGGGAAAGAAGTTCTTTTAAGATCATTTTTTACATAATCCTGGAAACTGCACACCGATGTGGATTACATCAATATTGATCGGGTCGTAAAACCTAACCGTAGAACCGAGTAAAAGAAATCACCAAACTGTATTGCTCAACCCCAATGTCTTCCTGCTGATTTTCACATTTAAAAGTCAAAAATTTGCGTTTTTAATGTTTGGCTTTTGTGTTTGCTGTCATTCCAATTTTATAGAAACCTTTTGTGGAGCCGATTCCAGCTGGGGTCCGTTAACCTAAATAGTTCCTGGGTGAGAGTTTGATGTTTATAGATAACAAATAAAGAACACTTTTATGTCCACTTTATTTTTTTGAGTATAAAGATATACATTCAACTTTCGGAACGGAGGCCACGGTCATACAATCCTATCTGGCCAGATATATAAAACGGGAAATGGGCCAGGGTAACAGAAATTAGAGAGAGAAAATCCATTTGTATGATCTTCCGACATTCTTTTCTGCACTGTCTCACGATTTTACTCAGCTTTCTGATAGCGCAGCCTTGAAATTGATCAAGCTATTATGTTGTAACCAAACACTGAGATTGAGCTAGTTTTTCTTTCAAAATGAGGCTTTTATGGTTTATATATGATTGGTAGGCACTTCCACTCCTGCCTCGCGTAAGGCATCACTACTGACTTGGATGTTCGAGTATCCTTTGGGCACGAATTTCACACGCCAATCAATCCACAGCTTCCAGGAGACCTTGCTCATACACCCTGACTAATTTGTCTACTTTCTGCGGGCACTCACCAATGTTACTGATATGAATCCTTGATTTTGTTTCTCCAATTATCTCACCAAACCCTAACCAACCAACGATAAATTTCGGGCTTATTAACTAAAATATTGACTCTGTTTTTGATTAATTTTACCTTGTTCAATTTTACCAGTGTGCTTTTTTCTCGGTGACAGCATTGAAGCTTCTTTACGATACCATTCTACTACCTATTTTAATCAGATAAGCTTAATCACAGCTATTGATAAAACATTTTGGAAAACAGGAAATAGCTTGTTTTCTGTAACTTTGATACAGTCATGAGTGTACACACATCTGTTTGTTCATATTCGGCAAACTGCATGTATAGAATTACCAGGCAATTTTCATAAGAGATCAAGGAACACAATCCAGCTTGGTTGGTTACCCGAGCGAGGATACCCATCAACAATGGTTCTTGGGAACATCTCAGATATACGGCTCAGCATTCGAACGAGAATGATTTTAAGTTGATCTAACCAGTGCTTCCGAATTCACTAGAGGACGTTCGTCAACCGCATTTAGCCACGGCCGAGGCATGGTTTATCCGCTAGTTCAATGAATCGCTTTGTTCCCCAAATCGATATAACAGAGCTCTTCAATGGGTCATACAATGGTGTGAATGCGATCCAATGACTGAGGCTGATCTTACCCCTAATCAATGCTCCTGACCCCAGCTGCAAAAGGATAATCGCAACCATGGCCTAATCTTACTGTGTCTCATCCTTATTCTCATCCGACAAACAACCATACTTTTAATTTTTTAAACCAAACGCAATCTACTAAATCTTGCCGTCAATAATATTTACACCGGAAATATTAGGCGAATTTAACATTCATTTTCCGTTATTACGTAATACAGTAATACTACCAACTAGAGAATGAAGTTTGCAAAACCAGGCTTGCACGTTATTTTTTGTTTTCTCATGTTTTATAATAGAAGTTTCCACCAAGCTACTTATGCTTAACACATCGTCATTCTGCTTCGATCGTTTATGTATTCCTACTGCTCTCCGAAGAAGACCAGTGAATTGACACTGTTTGAGTCTAAGCAGTTAAACTCTGAACATGCGTTTTACCTCGTTGAAACTACACAAATATTAACCTTGTATCCTTGTTCTTTGAATAAAACACTTCAATATCCATCTTTAAACGGAAACTCTTTCTGTTATGGTCGAAGTTGAGAGATCCAATTACCTCTGAATGTGATCGGTTTACTCTGAATAGAACAAAAAAGGAAAAATCAGACGGAAAAACGGGAACAAGAACGACCCTGCCATACATCAAGGACGTCTCGGAAATGATAGCAAGACTGCTCAGATCATACGGAATCTAAGTCTCCTACAAACCAACCGCCTTTGTAAGGAGGCTTATGCCAAAACCAAGGGAGCGAACAATGGAGAAGGACAAGAGCAATATTCTCTACAAAATAAACTGCAGGAACCGCCCAAAACGCTATATCGGACAAACTGGAAGGAAATTGTCAATAAGGATCCGTGAACACTAATAGACAGTCAGGAGAAATGACCAACTATCGTTGATTTCCTTGCACGAAGATCAAGGAGGACGTCAGTTTGACTTCAAAGCAGTGAAAATTAGCGACCAAGCACGGTCAAAGCGCACCAGGGAATTTCTCGAGGCTTGGCACCCTCCAAAGAAATAAATAAACAGGCACATTGAGCTGAAACAGTTGTACACGCCAATGCAACTCAAGGATCAAATGACGCAACGAAAAAGGTCACGCCGTGACCTGAGAACGGAACAAGGCCGCAATCAGGACGGATGGACAAACACCTCCCCTCACACTCTCACCTCCTCACAGCAGTTTAACGGTAAAACGAGTCAAGCACAGTGAGAACAAGTGACCAAAACAGTCGGTGGAGGAAACCACATAGATAAACGAACGGGTCAAGCACAACACTGCCGCTTTACAGGTACTGATGATGTCACCTCGGCTGGTGATGAAACGTTTGCAAACAAATTGCCAAGCTCGGTGAACAGGCGAAATGGAATTCAGTTCACCCGAGCTACGAGAACCAATTTTCAATACTTTGTCAACAGTGTACTCTGTGTTCAAACCACCAACTGAACTAGTCCGATACATTGATCTTTTTTATTAGAGCTTTGATTTTACAACCACAGAATTAATTGAACGGACTTTCACCATTTATAATAGTTATTATAGTTATTATATTACTCATAAACCTCTTTGGTCTTTAATAAGGCGGAGACATACGATTATTGGGGTAATAAAACAAGTTACCCTATGAATCTTATACTGCCCTACGATTAGATTTGCTTTCCAAATAGCTTAGTATTCCTGCTCTGTTTCGGTCGTTTGCTCACAGCTCTCGGCTTCGTTCTTTTGAAGAAACCTTGTTCAGTTCTGATTCGATCATCCTGAATTAGGATGGATTAAACAGCAGCTCTTGATCTGATGCTTCTGGCTGTTTACCTAGGAGTCTAGAAATACTGCACCTTTAGGTCGATGAGACTTCTTTTACCTACCGATGAATTGCCTCTGACCTGGTTTNGATCAGTTCCTCTTCATTCGTCTGCGTCAATAAGTCGATCCTCTTCTGCCTCCATTTTGACAGCAGGCGTCCCAGGCAGAATTTCGTGGTGACATGTCATGGAAGTTGCTTTTATTCTATCCGTGAGAAATTTTCCTGATTTCCTACCATTTTTATCATGATTGACCAGTTTCACTTCAGTGTTGCTTGCATTAGAAACTGACATCCCGCAGTCCATAATGGTTCATGGATTCTGCTTACTGCCGATCCCTCTGACTTACTGCATCAATTACTTATGTGAAATCTGTGATTCTTATTTGAGTTAAAATTTTAACCCCTTGATCTAAGTACTTCAGGCCCATCCCCCTCTCGTGTGGCTTCTTCGGTGAATGTTAAGTAACGTTGTCGTTGGCTCAACAGGGTCTTATTTCTTATACTTGTCTCACTCTAATTATTCCGGGTTATATAACATCCAGTTTATTGGTCAACGGTTGCAAAATGCACGAGGCGGTGTATTACTTCGATATCTCGTTTCAAAGCCTCGCGGTTTGAAACGAAGTATGTCACGTCATGGTATCACTAAAATTTATGCGCACAAACCAGCCTTCTACATGATTACCCTTCGTGATGCTCCTGTCTTTGCGGCTGCTATTTGTCCTCATCATTTTATTTCTAGCAATCTACGTTGTTTGAAACATTTAATTCTTTCACATGTATACTTTGTTTCATTCTTTATTTCCACGTCCGTCTAGTGCATAAACACGTCATACATTCACCGTTTGGATGGTGATCTTGGAGGTATTCTTCATGTCCTTACTCTCTTAATCAGATAGGAAAAGCGCCTTCTCATAAATTTGGTTATAATGGTGACAGCAGCATGCCGAATTAGTCTCTCGCAAAATGTTTGAGAGTGTTCATCTGACTAGATATCTCTTCTACCTGAACCAGAAAATCTCTGATCAAACTTGTCCCTCTCCCTTTGCATCATCTTTGATGGTAAACATAAGGCTGAAACTGTATCCCTTTTTTGTGGGGGGTGAATAAAGCGACCACTTGATTTGTCTTATAGTATAAAAACTTCCCTCTTCTCACCATATCAATACAAAATTTGGTCGTGATCATAGTACAGTCAGGGTACCATTGGATTCCAAACTAAAATGGAGCCAGTGTTGAGACTTCCACTTCATTTTTTCTCTGTCGTTTTGATTCACCGTTCGCACATCTCACTGACTAAAGTTCTCTTTTATTTTTGAACATAACTCTTTCATTCTGCTGATTCTTTAGCAGCATGTCTCCCTAACTGCTTACAAGGCTGGATTTCTTCTCCGTCCCGGACGATCTTTTTTCCTGGCTTACTTGCTCCTAGTGTAGAATGCTGCTATCTGTCCGACCCTTGAATATAGAAGACACGTGCAGAGTGACGCTTCTTGCTTCATTCTTCTTGATCCGGACCTATCAAGGGTTTATTTAACCTGTGTAGGTTCTCAACGCGGACTGGCAATTAGTCAATCAGGGTAAATCCTTGACAGTCTTGGCGCTGACCATTGACACGGATGCACCAGTATCAATTTCCATTTGGACAGGCGCTCCTTCGAATTCAACTTGTATGTAATAAGGCTGTGGATGTGAGTAGCCACATGTCATGGTAGTATTTATCTCGTCAAATGAGCCTTCGTTTTCCGAATTATCACTTACTTTCTCCTGCACGGCGGTAACAG